CACTGCTCGAAAATAGGTAGAATTGTTAATAGCAGGCCATAAGCACCGACCGAATAGGATTACTAAAAACGTTCGCTGCCTTTGTTGCTGTATCTGTAACTTGCAGCCTGCCTGTTTAGCGATGACCAGCAGCAGGTCGACTTGTTTGCTCGGGGGCCCTCGGGGGTCGGGGGCCCGACTGGCTGTTGGGCCACCTGCGCATCACAGCTACTCACACCAGTATTCCAATGCTTAGATTAATTTAGTCTTGGGCTATAACACCAGGACCACACACACGTAACCGGCTCGAATCGCTGTTCACTCGTCTCGAGCTATTGGCTCAAATTGGGCCGCACTCTGTTGTTTGAGAGAAGATGCAGAGAGCAGCCAGGCGCATGCCCAGAGCGCCCGCTTAGATACGGCCACCCGGCAGAGGGCGCGCGCGACGGCCTGAGAGCTTGGCGGGACCACCACCGACCAAGGAGAGCCCGCGAGCACAGCTAATACATGCAGCTCCAGCGCTACGGAATACTATAGGCCCCTAGTATATGGCAGCAGGCAGCCATCTAGAAACCGCATGGGCGGTGGCCGCATGAACGGCCTTACGGGGTTGCCGGAGACTACTTGGGGACGTAGCGCTGGATCACATTACATTGTTACATTAGGAAACAACATGAGACCATGTCCCAACAGCCGGGGACCAATTGGCCGAGTTGCAGCGCGCTAGGGCTCAAAAAAGCTAAAGCTTCGTGGAAACTTTTCACAGTAGGCTGAATTCTTCAAAATATCGTAGATGCTGTAGTACACCGCAACAAGCTTTCGCGTTGGTTCACTTACCTCTGTGAAATGAAGTTACTGAGATATGCATTAACTATACCCTCAAAGACACATAAAACTGACCAGATCAACCCCAGCTTGGTATCACCCTTATATCTTTATAATGGAAAAAAACCACCTGGCAATGTCACCATTAACTTTTCTAGTTCTGCTAGCTATCACCTTGGCACTTGTGAGGTTCTCTTCGCCAAGTAGTTAAAACGTCATCAAAAAGAAGATTACTTTGAAGAAAAGAAGCTCTGTTAATCGTTAAATCTGTTTAACTTAACAAATTACTTAACGTTTCAGGGCTATTTTTTGGAAGACAATCACTGAATGATCTTATTACCGAGAGAATTTTCGTTTGCAATGAGGGACATTATTTAATCCATTTCATGCATCATTATTACTACCATGGAGTATTGTCACCAAAAAAAGGACAACTTTAGCGAATATGCATACTCACAAAATACACTTTATGGGTAGGTAAAGGGTTCGTTTAATGCCAAAGTTCTTTTATTGTTCACTTATACCCTGACTTAACAGTTGCACATAACAAAGTTGCTAATAAAATAGAACAGAATAGATGAACTTTATGAATATTTTTATGCAGTGCTGCGAAGGTGGAAATCTATATAGTCAATTACAAATCTAAATATTCGGTCAATCCAGAATTATTTATTATACACTTTGGTATAAGAGTATCTCACGATCTGTAGTGTTTCCAAAAAAATCGCTGCTGGAATAGTAATAACAAATAAAGCCTCTGTTACATATAATCCTATCTATTTATTTAAAACTACTTCTTGGTAATTCTCGGTATATCTCGACAGCATAACCAATTTTTTAATAATTACCAATTAATTTAATGAGATCGAATAAGAGACCCTAAACTAAATTTGACTGTATTGAGAAATTCTCGGTTGCGGTTGGCTTTAAGAAACAATCTGTTCTATTTCTTTTTTAATTAAACCGCTAATGGTAACGCTATGTATTTGAGAAATAAGGACATAATTGCTTGCTTAACGTTACATTTCCGTATATCTACAGAAACCAACAGCGATCTGCTATTCTTTTTTTTTTTACCATAGTGCTGGCGCGAACGCTAATGATAATAGCGAAACTTAAATAATGCACAATGTCATTCACTTCCTTCACCTGGCGTTCTTGCTTTAGGAGGCCTATTTTGTCATACCGTGTCCGTCTAACAGACGTCAAATCTGACAACAAGAACTCCCAAAGGCTGTTTCCATATTGCTTGTTATTTGCATGTTCAGAAGGCGAGATATCACGATGGTCATTATCACGAGACCGAGAATAGTCTTTCTCTAGAAACTGCTTTACAAAGAATGGTGCTACTCAAGATCACCTATCACTTTCTTGTGCATTTTCTTTTTTACTTCGAGCATCCATAAATTAAGATTTAAATATAGCATATACAACAGCCGCTATGAATAGAGTATAGATACTACACAACTCGAACGGTTAGTTATATCAGCTATGCTCGTGTTTTCAAAATAAAAGGTCCGGTCTAGCTGCAACAGCACACTGCGGTGACAAGATGTTTTTTGATGCGAATGATTCGAAAGTTCTGCCCTGTGTCAATCGCCAGCCTCATACCTACTAAATAGTACACCCTGTTGGCGACTGCATCCGGGTGCTCTCCAAACCTCAAATTGTTGTCGGTGAACTTCCCTAATAACTTAGCAGATTTTTCCTAAGGACTACGTTCCCTGGAAGCGATAAAAGGCTGCGAAAGATTCAAGTACTCACGTCTTCGAAGAAACACTTTAGGTAACTTTAAGTCATTCAGCCTAAGGAAGTGAGTTGCCCATATTATAATAATGAAATATTTGATATTGGAAACTTCACATTTCTGGCGCTTCTCGGTGCAAGTGAAGCGTTACAAAAAGTCAGTCACATACCAGCTGCGGCATTGTGTGATCTACTTAAAGGTAAAAATAATGCATTAATAAAAACTAAATTTTAAAAAACATTTTAGTAAATAGTGTATACAACGTTTGGACGCATTTTTGAATTAGAAGGAACTCATAAAGCTTTACGCTAAAATCCGAAATTTTATGACGAGCTTTGGTTGACTTAAAAGAGACTGAACTTTACCTGACGCAGTTATCTTCCATAGAAATTAAACTTTTTTAGCTTACTCAGTAATAAACACCGATAATAGGTATTTAACATTATTAGCAAGTTATTATAAAGAATAAACTAGTTTTGCTTTAAGGAAGCTTGAAGATCCTTCTGAATAGGAAAGCTATGATAGATGTTTTAACACCAGTTTGATATCCAAACATTAAATAGCTTTTATTTATTGGGATTTCGCTAAATACGTAGCTCCTTGAGCTTCCAAATACCTAATGCATACGGCCAATTTAGAAGTTACCATGAATACCCGCAATAGAAAATGCTCGAAGAAGTCCAACAAAGAATAATCTTTACCATGTCTAACTCTCCGGTCCCAAAGAGTTAGAAGAATTAAAACAACGTATTGAATATCCCTAAAGCTACGCATGAACCGTAATTTAGTTGTCCTCATACACAGCGTCGTGAGAACTTGTTTCATTCCAAAAGTACGTTCAGTTATTCGTTCATGTAAGCAAGTTTTGGAACGTCTCAACATCAGTTGTTTTGCGGAAATTTTTACGGAAAATAGCGAATCACTAAAAAGCTTTACAGGAAGTCAGTTTTTTGTTACACTTTTTTTCATTGGTATTCATCTGTGCTAACGTTAGCGACCAGCCCTTCAAGCGCATGTTATAGCATCATCACATAACTACAAAAAATAAGTACTTAGAAAATTCTGTGACGATAAAGTCCAAATTGTACATTCCAGATCTTTACAATTGAAGCTTGCTCGCTTCAGCATTTCGCTGACCCATCAACTTGAATTGTACTAGATGAAAGAGTAGAGTCTTTGCTTTATTGGACGTAGCACTTACCGGTTATAATTTAACGCGTTGCCAAGTCGGGCGTATCATTTTTTTTGACAATATAATAAATAGGAGAATTCTTTTTACTAAATAATTCTAAAGTACTTCTGTCGAAGCAGTAATTTACGAAATTAAACCACGGGTAATTGTAGGGCAGACTTAGCCTGACGAAAAAACTTTCACAGCAACTATGAGGAGACACCCTGGATTGGGAATGGTTTCTAATCTGGGTATCAGGTAAGCAGTTGACTGAGTGTGTAGAGTCAAGTCAACACGCGAACGCGGAATGTAACCCTCTGCTATCGGCTGTATAATCGATAATGAGTGGCGACAATCACCGAGTACTTATCAATAACCATAATATGCACAACATATTTTAATCCTTATTTTTGGCTTATGGCGAGTTTCGCTCACCAGCGTAACCTTAGTACATTCAATGCATATGATGTATTCAAACTAGTAACAACGCGCCAAAGGAAAGGCTTAATATTAGAGCGTGATCTGCTCGCTTAGCTCCGCCCCTGTTTCGTTCTCAAAAACACGCTAAACCACATGTGCTTACGTCATAGAATTTGGTCAGAAATACGTTTGTGTATTTGATAATATATCAGAGCGAACGATGCTAATAGAAGCCTTGTAAACGCTAATGTTTTGTAGAATGGGAAATAAGAATGAAGTTGTTGCCACCGTCTCACGACTAAATCGGCATTATCCTGTATAGTCAAGTCGATTTGGATCATGGATCTTCAATCTACCAGCTTTATCATCCGCGCAGATCTTCTCAGGATGAATCCCTAGCGACCCTAAAAAAACCGTTTCATCCTGTCATTTTAAGGGACGTTGCTGGTTTGGCAAGCACACATACTTTTAGTAGGATATATAGTGTATTAACAATGAAACGTTTCAGCCGTTTCTAAAATATAAATCTAGCAAATGCAGAAGCACATTAGGTGTATCCATCTATGAAACCTTCGATCCAGTATTACAATTATCTTCCTACACAAAACAGAAACAAAGTTCATCAAGAAAAAAACAATGATTAACCTAGAATATTATAAGTGAGTAGAAGAACTAATGTAAGATAAAGAAATTAAGTAGTTCACTAAGTATTCATCTGATATCCGTAAACTTGCTGTAAACAGATTCATAGTTACCTGCACGTAGTTATTTTTTAATAAGTACTAAGCAATAGAAAACACGTAAATCAGCATGCTAAACAGTTGTAGGCAGGATAAACACAAATTAAAACACACTGACTTTCCGATTCGATTAAGGCTTGACAAGTATTTATTGGTTGCTCGGCTAGGTTCCGGCGTAACGAATTTACTCGGCGCCTTCTACAACGGTTGTAGTTAGTCCTTTGAATGAGTCAACAGGGACCAACGTTACCAGTGTGTATAGCTTTTCCTCGGTGTCGTCATCGTCGTTGCGCTTCCTAGAAAAGATATTGCAAACCCCAAACAGAAAAACTCATCAATTTGTGCACGCAAATTGCACTGATAAGGAGAATCTCACAACTCAAAATGTGTATTTGGCTGTCATAAGCGAATTCGGCGGAATTTGAAATCAAATAGCTTCTCAACTACTCCTTCTAACATACGAAATTTGACTTGTAAATACTCCAGTCTCCTAGAAACTCGTAACTGCAAATTGACTGATTTTACTTCGTGACAAATGAGTTTAGAAGAAAAACGTATCCTCTGGTTTGACAGTTAACGCTTAATGATCAAGTTTCTGTTCTTTGCAGGCCACAGCATTGCGAAAAATTATCGAAAATCGGTAAAGACATTAAACAAGGAAGCCTTGAGTAAGTATCGTACGTGAATAACGTACATGCCGAACGGAAGTTAAAGTGCTGACAGACCAGCAAGAGATAACCAGATGCCCGGACCAGAATAAATTGCTACAATCGAAAACGCTTTTCAAAAAAGCAAAATTTAGTGTCTAAGATTCTGTCGTTCAAGCTGGCATTTCACATGTAACGTGTTACGATATTATAATTCAGGCACTGAAAAAAAAACGGAAACTGATTCCCCATGAATTGACTCCAGGCTAATTAGCATATGGTCACCTTAGACGAGGTGTAGTAATATATCTACCGCCAACCGGAAAAGGACTAGATGAGAGAACAGCGTCCCGCTAAAGAGAAATCGAGTTCGGTGGCAGTATCGAGGTTTTAGATGATGGTAGTATTTGTAATGTACGTCAGAGGCATCTTTTAGCGCGATACCAGCCGAAAATGAAACTAATGCAGCCGACTTATCTCGAGTTTTTCAAAAGATGGATGAATCATTACCACGATGCCTCAATTACTTCCTGGATTTTGCAGCTTAATGTTCAACATTGATTTTAACCTACTTATTCTTGCGATCGAAATCTGTGCGCTTACAAGCCTTCTTATGCATTAAAAAAGACAACTGATGGCAGATCTGTTCCACTATCGATCTTCTTCGAGAAGCCATACATATTATAAATAATGTAAACGCAAATGTGTAAAAGCTGTTGGAGACCTGGGACAATTTTTGATCAATAAAAGGTAATATTTTCAACGCACGGTAAACAATTATCATCCTAGCCCAATTAGTTTAAAGTTTATATATTAATCATTATTAAACGAAATATCTATATATTACTCGGTTTATAATAATTATCATTACAGTAATACAATATTTCGTTGACAGTCCTAATAAAAATATCAATTCACGGGCCAATTGTATGCCATTTTCCGTCGAATAAACCAAGCTTCTTTGAAGGTCAGCTCAACAAGACATCTTTAACAGAGTATAAGGACTATATTGGTTAAATATATGCCATTAAAGCCTTACTGCCAAAAAAGAAATAACAGTATGGTAAAAAGAATGTCCGCAAGCTTCAAATATCTAACATTACTGTGGTATAAGGAGGTCCTAACTTACATGGAGAACATACAGAATATTATTTTCAAATATTTCGGTAGTTACAGAATTTCACAACGAGGAACAACTTTAACAACAACAAAACCAGCAGTGAGAAAACGTACCTTGATAGACGAACGCGCACGCGAAACGGAGGTGAGCGGATTCCCCTGTGCCAAATGTGCTTGTTGAGTCGGGTATCGATGCGCACATCGGATGTACCCATCACCTTCTGGGCAAACTCACGAATAGATTTGATTGCCCTAAAATCAGCGGGACCCATAACATGTTAGTAAACTCAGAACAATTATATTAAAAGAGAGTAATATAAATCAACTGAGTTGCTCATGCACAAATACTATATAGTAGTAGATAAATATCGTACAACTGTTCAATTCGAAAGTTTTGTACAGCTTAAGGAAGGCTCATATGTTAGTACTAAATTTAGTTCTAATGTAAAAACCAAGCTAACATAAGATCATAACAAAAATTGAACATATCAATTTTAACCGAAATTTGTCTTTTGCGATTTTGCTATGCCTAGTTACAAGAAAAGTCGAGTTCATGGACGAGTGACTTGCTAATGTTAAGGACTGCGTAGCATGACATTGACCCTGACCATTCATCATTGATGCTCAGAGGAAACATTCATTGGTCATTGGGTTTTAGGTTTAAAACCCTGAACTAATGACTAACGAATTTACACATTTGCCTACTATGATTGTAATTTTTTAGTAACCGTTGGTTCTGTGTTAAGGATATTACGAACATAATAGTGTAAATCATGGAACCCAATAGTCTCGTTAGAGATATATAGTAGATGTTCACTCTGAACTTGTATAGTTTACACAAAGGGTTTCCGCAAAGCTTCTTAATCGGTTGCTCAATTCAATAAAGTGATATAATAATATATTCAATATGTATACTGAGGTCCTATCCGCTTACTTCATTATCGTCTGTTTCCGTTCCTTTCCGATAAATTGAAAAACGCAACTGACTTTAATCTTTATGAAATCATTGAATTTGATTTGAATAAAACATGTTGGAATAAACCAATTTTCCCATATAGCTGCTTAACAATAACTAGGTCTCTCATGATTTTCCACATGAGTTCACTAATATGCCGTAGGCTGAAATGGCGTGAATATTTTTTTCAGGGTCATGCTTTTTAGCCATGTTGAGCATACTACGCAAAATATGCAACATAAATGTTCTTCTAGCTTATCAGTAATACGATGTTAAACATCGAATGAACTTTTGCCTCCCATCCACCGCCGCACTTCACACTCACCTTGGCGCTTTCTTTTTTAGCCCAACCTTGTAGGTCTTTTTATGAAGGTTTATGGAATACTCACGAGTAACCAGCACCTTCTCAAAAATACTTAAAGGCTTTGGAGCTTTTGGCTTCTTCATGATGAAACAGTCAAAATCGACAATGCGGCTTAAGACCGAGGTTGTCACCACGTGTGAAAACAAGAAAAGGACCAAAATGGCGACAGCAGCGGGCTCCTCGCCGATACTCTCCACCAGGAATTAGCTGGCGGGATATACGCCACGGTCGTTACGCAATTCTATAACATAGTTGATTCATTTGTGTGGAGTGCAAAATACATCGTGTTTCAATTAGCGTTAAGTGTCTGCAGGTTTGCTCAAAAGAAGGTTAGGATTAACTGTTCACTTTAGGACCGGTAGTGGTTAGTTCTCTCCAATGGCTACCTTGGCGGGTGTAATTTTCGTAATTTCATAAACATGACTCACATTTTTCAGCCGGGCTGTACTTCCATTTAATAAATAATTTGTCTCTAAAGGACGTCTTTTCTTTTTTAAAAAAGCTTTCCGAAATGATCGTCCGATTTCAAGTCAGGTCATGATTTTAGTGGCGGCAAATTTGAAAGTTTCGCAGGCTTCGGTTACTGGTCTACTAAACACAAAGCTATAGTTGTGTACTAACGCTTGCCAGAAAATTTCATTGTTATAGAGGTATGGAATTACTTGAACGGTTATAGTATGTTCCTGCTTCAGTTACCATGCTACGTTATATGCGCTTTACCTTTTTCATTGTGTGTTCTCTCATTAAACACCACAAATAGTATAGTGAATTCTTTAATTGAGAAGACATCAAGCACTTGTTGCTAGTTGTAACTCCTATTGTGATCTCTACTTGCGCGTTTTTGCAGATACGTAAACTATTACTGCTGTTTCCAGGATTTGCGTTAGTAGAGTACGTACTCATGCTAATGTTAGCGCTCAGCCGCTTCTTTCCCTAACCTAACGATTTAAACATCTACTGCCAGCACAGAAATTGGTCAACCTATTCTAAAGCGTCCCTGTATAGCAAATAATATTCATTGAGTCATCTAAATTATTTTCCTGATTTTCGGACAGCGCAGTGTTTTTTCCATTTGTTACGAACAGTACATTCAATATAATTCTAAATGGCGTTTACATTTTTGCCTATCGATTTAGTTTGACAACTTACTATGCTCTTAACGTCGAAATGGTAGCAGGCCTGTTGTCGTAGTCGGCGGTCACCTAGAGACCCTTGGTCTCCGCAGCCAGCTATCGCCTACTACACACGGCGATCTCTATCATGAAGCAATCCTTATCTCCAACATCCCTTTATTTGCATTACTATCCAGCTCAATTCGGTCTTATCGATATAATAATGAGGTGTTTTATTATTTAAAAAAAAAATAAATAAGTTTACGTTAAATTGTAATCAATGGTAATAGTTTCAAAAAATACAGTTTGCACTTAAGTCTATCTTGTATTTCGAAACGTATTAAAGGCTAAAGAGGTATAAGGTTCCACACTCCACGATAAACATTTGTCAACAGATTGTCGACCTACTTAGAACGTCTGATCTCAATGGACCTTGATCTTAATATTGTTAGCAATATATTTGAATTCTAACCAGAGGACGAACAATTGTATAACAAATTCGTTGAACCACCTGCTATCAGTACATGGTACTCTCGTTACCAGTTATAGTATTTATCAAGTGATACTCAGTTTTATCCTTTAACACAAATAATATTATTATAGAATAGAACTGCTATGGCTCCGAGTGAACGCACAGAGGTCGTCTCAGAAGATATCAATTTTTATTAAAGCAAGGAAGGATGGGTATTTTTTGGCGCTAAAAGTTAAACTCTGGTACTGTTCAGTAAAAGGTTGAAACACACATAGACTGTAAAGGTTTTGTCAACAGGTGCTTTATTATAATTGTTTCAAAGTAAACATGGCCCAAATTAGTATACAATAAGTAACGCAGTCGCACTTCTGTTTTTCGTATTAGTTAGTGAAAGGAGTACGGATAGCGCTCTGAATATAGGCTAAAAGTAATAGGCAACAACATTCGGATTGAGACAAACTCAGCAGATTGAGCTAACGTGTAGTAGATTGCGTCAAGTAGATTGCGGCAAGCACTGAAGCAGGCACCATGCTTGACACTCTTTTTTCTGAGAACATAAGTAAGGCCGTTCGTTTGTTCGATTTATCGCAGTTAGACCATATTGTGCCTTGTAAATAGATTCTGCAATTGAAATTAGCTACGTGTATCCAAGGTTGGTCGCGTCGTCAGCCTCTAAAACTGATCTTCGGGTTGCTTCCCGAGTCGGCGAGGCATCTCGGCGAAACATGAATCCACTAAGGAGGCGGTTCAAAAAAAGTTTTCGCAAGAATCCGACCCGACGAAGCTTGATACATGCAGATGATGGCGTAGGAAAGATATTATGTTTTTTTTTTAAAAACTGTTTTGTAACGGACCAACTGAGGTGCCGTATACCGTACGGGCTCGTCCAAATCCACCAAAGCCGTGAGTTACTGTTGCCACTTCTACGCTTTTCCAGGCGCGTTCACGACTCGCTCACCCATACCGTACGTAAATCATAGTTAACGTGATTCTGTTTTAGTTTCCGATCATGAATTTACCTATAAATTGTTGAAGCCTCTGTGTTTATAGTTTTACATCCGGTACATCGCCGTTAGGCATTCCGTCAGACAGACGGCAGGCTCCTAGCACGACACGAAGTGTATCTATGCCCGGGTTCGAACTCTTTTGTCTGACCTTACAGGAAAGGCTTTGAAGATGTCTATATAAAATGTATTGCCAGTGAGAGCGCGGACGCTTTGGTTTTACCGAGCGTCTCCTTGAAACGACGCGGCAATTTCGAGCTAGAAAAGGTAAGAAGGGTGCAGAAGAAGGATCTTCGATTACGCATGATAATCTCAAGGTTTACACAAGGAACCCGCGCCCCAGCGTATATGTTTAAGGACAACCTGGCTTGTTCATTAGAAGTGCACTTACAACCATTAGCGACAGATACTCAAAAAAAAAGTTTCACCTCCGTTAGCTGTGATTACTGCTGTTTTTTGGCATGCTCCGGGTGCGCTTTTGCACCATCCCCGTCCATCCCGAAACCTAAGCCAGACTTGGACCATTGTATCCATGAGTTATGAAATGTTCGTGATCTTCTGTCCAGCGCAGACTCGCGCTTTGTCAAAATACCACGATCGGATCTAACTCGGGTGAATTCCCGTGTAGTAGCATGACCTCAACATCATAAATGGTATTACAATATAGATATAAAACAGTGAATTGTCATGCATAAACACATAGTTACCATCTCTTGCACTTGTAGATCACTCCCCGTACCTGAGACAGCATTTTTGTATAAATTACTTCACTGCTTTGTTGTTCGAGATGATGAAATGTAGCCTTTCTCGGTCGTGGATGTGACTCACGACCTATACCATTTTTTGCTTGTATGTTTCACTCGCTGGATTACACAGGACTTGTGGAATTATTACCTAAAATCTCAATATGCGATTCATCTCAAAAGCCGACCTTTTCCCAGTCCTCAACTATCGGATTTTGGATTTTTTTAGCCCATTTGAATGCACATACTTATGTGGAGAATATAATGAAAGTTTTTGAGCAGTTAACAATGGCTAAAATCATGGGAGAAGAAGATTCAATACGAGGTCGGAAAGCCCTTACGAACAGAGTGATTTCGCGCTTCGCCACCCTCTGCCGTATATTTAAAAATAAAAGTAACAGTAATCGTTGTACTACATCTCTACGTGGACAGAAGATGATCAAATCGGATACGTACATTGTTCATAATAACTCAAATGTTCCTACATGTTGTAGTGAGCAACGATTGTACCACGTGTTCCAATAAGCGCCTAATTTCGTCATCGGAAAGCAGAAAAGGGCAGTTTTTACATTAAAAAACCGCATACAGTCATTTTGAGTGCGGAGACATTCGTGATCAAATTTGATAAGTCAGCCATTTGAAGCAGTGCTTAGGTAATGCTACACGTAAGGTTTAGACCCCCAATAGCCAACAGCCACAGTTCGCTTGAGAAAAGGTTGCCTCAAGTGACGTCCACCGACTAGCGCCAATACAAAACGCTGCTTTGACTGATTTCGGCTGTCAAGCCGTACTTCCCGGAACGCTTCCGAATGTGGAGATGCCGCAATTCGAAATCAAGGCAGGATAAGTTTACTTTATGAGCAAGCCACACTGAAATTGTCCGAGTGGTGGCACCCCCCTTGGCATAAGATTTTTATTATTATGAATAGTAAGCAAAGTAACATCACAGAGCCATAGGTTCACTATTGTTGCACGTCAGCTGACTGTATGCATGAAGGATATATTGCGGCTGTATATTGGCGAAAATACCCTAGTAGCACAGCATGCAAAGATGCGAACAACTAGTGTCAATGATAATGATTTTTAGGTATATATAAGCCAAATATCAATAGATGAGAGCCTCGCAGGTAGATAGCAATGTGACAGTCGAACCTTCTAGTTCGTTGGGAAACACAGGTAATCCATCACTCTCCTTCAGGAGGTCCGCAAGCTCTAAATTACGCGTCACTTGTGAATAGTGGTTGCAGATGGCCGTATCTATTGAAAACTTGATCAAGTGTCGCCGTAGCTCTAGTAGAATCGGATCGGCTACCCTGTATGGGATCTCACAATGATTTGGTGAAAGATTCCGTTGAATAGCTCGGTAAGGTCGGCGCGTGCATGTTTTCAAGATACGATAATTTTAGTAAGAGGTGACATGCCTTTATATGAGGTCGCTGGTTGAACCCCTGCCAACGATGTATGAATACCATATAATTCGTATTCAAAAACGGCATCTTTCTATAATTTTATGGCCTCCCTCTTGTGAAATCAATAATTTTTTATATTGTATTATGAGCTCCTAAAGGGAAAGCATAATAGGTTCGAAAACAGCTGTTCCCACTACGCAATTATCTGCGTAAAATTGTAGCCAGCATAAAGAATCATCTAGTGTCTTAATTGACAGAAAAACAACCCTTAATAGCTATTCAATAAAAATAGTACTCCTGGTCGATTCGAAATAAAAGAAAAAAACTCTCACCAGAACATTTATTGTAACAATATAGTTTTACTATTTTTGGCATACAGCTTAAAGAAACTAATTTTTCCTGTAGATATCTCTGATACACCGGGAAACGTTTTAAAAAATGACACAGTAGAATAGAAATCAAGATTTTTGTCATCTTGAAAACTTTACGGCCAATGGATTTTCATGCAGGCAACATGTAAATTTTGCACGATCAATTCTCATCTTATGCGTTTACGCTCTTTATCCGTGTGGTTTTTTCCATCAGCTGGGAAGGTATCGGATTGTGGTAGACGATCTTGCGAGGTTCAATTATTGGTCAACAGTATCGAAGTTCGGTACGCCTATCAGAGAAACCTGGAATTTAACAAGATATATATCTGATATACACACACAGATATGCTCGGACTAAAGGATATATTCGTCAAAATGTATGTTGTCCTTGTGTCGGACATATTTTAGCTATGAGTTAGTTTTATCTCATGATATGTATTCTTTTAGTAGAAGCCAAACGATCTTATTTAGAAAGCTTTGGAAAAGGAATCTCTCAAACGGTAAGCCATTTGTACATCTTACACGCGTAACACGTAATCGTACAATCGAAAATAATACGTTACTCGGTCTTTGTATGTATGTTGATATATCTTTGTCTTGAATAGGTGTGCACGCGGTGGAGACACCTACTGCACACTTTAGCTACAGGTTCACTTCAATTTTAAACTTCCTGTTCTAAAGGTGCTACTTAATTAATATGTTAATCAAGTGTAGTTTAAAATAGCACGTGGAGTCTAACTCAATTGTGTGACGGATCCTACAGGACAGTATGTCGCATTTAATGGGTAAATAAGAACGGTTCTGGGCCGCCAGCACGGCTTTCTCGAACAAAAGAAAACTAAGCTATAACGTTAGAGAATTTCAAGCGAACTCCGAGGCAGAAGGCGTAAACGTGTTCGACGATTTGCCAATTGAGTCACCCTTGCAGACTTCAAAGTAATACGATAAGTATTTTGTGGCGGTATTTGTGGCATATTGCGGTAGAAGCATCTTGCTTCTTAGTAAGTAGTTCATCTTCACTACAGGCAATTGTCGAGAATTAAGTGCCTCTAAACTTCATAGCAATGTCATTGTTGAATTCTTGGGGGATCACAAAAACGCGGACGTCTAGGTCAATACGAAAAAAGAAAGGAACAGCATATGGATGCATGGTCCGCATTACCGGAAGATTCTTCTAATTAAAAGTAGGGTGTCATCTTTTGAAACATTTACATATATCTGGTACGGCAATAGAATGGGCGAAACCTACTGAGCTAGTCAATGGGAAGCGGCACACAATTTTTTTCCGTATAACTGTGAAATAAAGAGACCAATCCACCTGAGAGATTAAAGTAAGTTTATTACTTATACACATGATAGGTTGTTGCTGTGGTGTGGTATCATTTCCAGCCAGTTTGAGTATGGATTTTAATAGAATCGCATTAAAATCACAAGAGCGATGTTCGCTACTGGATGCGGCCGAGCACGGGAAGCGTAACCTCGCGTCGCTGAGCAATAGGACCACATTTGAAACGGCTATATTCGAACTATTTTGTAAAATTTAATAACTACATTTCGCTGTTCTGATTTGAAAAACCTCTAAGAAACTTGTTGACCAACAATAATAAATCAATCGAGGTGTATAAAACATGTCTGCTTCATCGCTTCCTTGCAATAAGCTGCGTTTCCACACTTGCGTACTTGAGCTTGGAACAAAAATTGCAGAATTTTGCATCTCGATTTGGTACATAACTTGATTAAGAAAAACGGCATTATTACATATATTGGCACAGGAGATTAGGGGGAAGCATCACACCAATTTTTGTTGGTTACGTCAAAAACTACTGTAACCACAGAGAATAATGTTCTGTTTCAAACAAATGTCGGTAACAAATAGCGTTACTCCAAGGTAAATCAAAGTATGCTTAGGACTAGAGTCGATGTTCAGAATGGTGACGACCTTCTATCGTTCGTACTCGACGAGAGACAATAAATACGTATAGTCGTATCATTCAGTCATAGTCAGTCAATGCCCGCCACTAATATAGAGCCGATATCGGATTGGTTAGCTGTCCATATATATATATATGTAGACTAACCATTTCATCGGTGAATGGCGGCATTTAGCGCAAGGCCGGCGCTAATATTGTCCTGGCTTGTTTGCTACTTTTCGTCCTATGTCATTCTTGTCATCATTATTAATTTATCTAAATTGCTCAATATATATATATATATATATATATATATATATAGATATATATATATATATGTCGTTGTACATTATGCTATTACACTGTGACCGCACAAAATACGTATATTAGAGGCATAGTTTTCTTTTCGAGTTACTACCGGGCATTTTCTTAAGCATATCAATAATAATAATATTATTATACAGACTTTTTATAGTTGCCAGAATAAAAGGTGAACCGGTTCTGTGACAAGATTTCCTTATCAAGAAATAATAATATATTTAATTCTAATAATTATTATATTATTATTTTTATTGTTGTTTTTGCTGATTGCTGGCATTGACGGTGATGAGTTGTGGCACTCGGAAGAATGATGTATTCATATGCGCATACATATACTCGTGTGTATATAGATTTGTTAAATCAATTCCATTGTCATTTATGATGGTACGTATTATATTCGACTAACTGTACATGGCCCTATAGGTACACCTAGACTTACGTATATCGTCCTGTAATTCACTTCATCAGTTTCTCGTCGCACACAACTTTCCTCGTATGTGTACTTTATCTTAAGTAATCTCTCTTCTCATGTACACGCCTGGTCATTAAATATGCTTATTTTCCGGTTGATAGTTGTTTGTGCATGTTCAAGTTTCGTCGTTAATCTTGTTGACATTAATATGTCCCTGGCGTTTTCTGTTTGTTCTTAAAGCTTAGATACTTCGTGTTTATTTTCAACTACCATGCAATCACCCATTATATCATTGGATCGTTTTTTAGATCTGATGGCAAAAAGTATTTTTGTGCCAAGAGATCCGGAGCCGAAATTATTTACGAATGATGATTTCTCTTGCTTGGCCACCAGTGGCTCCTTAGGGTTCGGCTGTTACCATCATGAGAAATCAGTGCGGGGTCGTTTGCTCGAGGTTATTGGTCATACTTCTGACATTTCCTGTTCACTCGCTTCCTATCCACACATCTCTATAGCTGTATTGTTTGTTCCTAAGGTGTCCCTTGCCCTGATCCTCCAGCACTATTAATTCCCATTGAAGCTGCCTTTGCTGCTTGGGCTTGGCGTTCCTGCTCGTTAAGCTCCTTGATCGCCTGGATCTCCTGGAACATGATTAGCAGAATGTTACAGATTTACTATACAGAATTTAAGTCTAGTTTGCCTCTTTTCTTAAGATCAGCTGATGTGTGAACGAATTCTACGTAAAAACAGAGACGCGCAATATACGAGACTGATGCTCTGGCTTAGTTTAAAAATACTGACACAGCTGAGCAAAATTTCAAACGAAACATCCATGAAGGAGTCATTGCTTTTTTTTTACGGAATTTTTGGTGGATTTGGACGCAACAGATAATGATTCCAAATGTAATTGTATTGATAGTTTAGTGAATTAATGTTTGCGCTTAGTTGGTCAGCTACTAAAGCCTTGTGATAGTTTCTTAGAGACTGATTAGAACGACGATTGCACAGGAGATCAGATCTGTTTTGGTTTTTGAGGTGTGCTTACATTATTTGTATATCAGGCAACATATATGGGCACATAGCCTAACTCTGGACTTAGGGGTATCCGGTGGGACTAAGCATTTTTTGTTGCTCTATATAGACGTACAAACATCCGTTTCTGTCACCCACAACAAACTGCATAGAAATCTACCATTGTGGTTGCGCTTTGTTCGGTGCTAGGTGAGATTTGGCAGACGATGAGTAATCGCGTTTCTTTGCCCTTTTCAACAACAACCTAGTCTGTCAAACGCCCAGGCATTTATTTTTTTTTGAAAAATTACATAGATATAAGAAATTTGACGACAATTGAGTCTTTGTAGTCCATATATTTGACCGGTTAACAAACCGGTCATCATCCGCAATCCTTATCGACCTTGGATGGATAACTAGAGTGGCGTGCAGTGCATCGTGTCCAAAATTCAAGCCTGAATTCAAATTGTATTCATCAGAGACGAAATGAGGACAACCTCCTTCCAGAGGGGCCCTTGAGTGGTATGCAGAGTACGTTACTGAAATGTATATGTGTGCTTTTGTGATGCTTACTTTTTAAGACTGTATCCAAATAAAAACAGAATATATCGACGAATTTTCTTAACAACGATATTAGTAAGCTTAAATCAGTTAAATATCGCTCGAATACGCCATATAAAAAAAACAATAACGTCAATTAGTTTTGGCATATTCGCTGGCCGGAAGTCTAAACGGCTAACAAACTCAAAGGGATCAAAAAATTCTTGAAAGGTCCAGTTGTTGGAGCATATCCAGACGACTCAATCGACAATCGATTGATATTTCTCTCTCTAAGGCAGTTGTAAACCACTGTACAAAAATCTAGATGTTTCCAAAGTGGCTGATTATCTTGACGAATCTTCAAGATCTTTAAATTTGAGCTATATTAGGGTCCTTCGGTTTCTCCATGAAAACGTTCCTCGGATTTCCAAAAGTCGCATCAAGTCTGACAATAAATGCAATTAATAGTTCGTGCCGACTTCAGGCAAAAAAAGTTCATTTTGGTGTGAATTTGTCTGTTGACAAAAAGATTGGATAATAGCTCAAGTTATAAAACGACATACTGTTGTTCTGTCAGAGAAAAGATTGACCTAGCATTTTGCCAGGCACCAGGATGAATGTACAGTCGTCACGACGAACAGACCGCAACAAAAGCTTGTCCCAATTTAGATGATCTAAGGTGAATAAACGAAAACAGACATTAACAAAGGTAGACAACAGGGCTCTAGTCAATGATATCCCTAGTGGTCACTACTCTTACGAATCCGCGTTAAAGGATTTATTGCTTAGATATTTTTTTCCAGTGAAGTTTTTCTCACCTCACTGCGGTATGTAAGTTTGGAAGTCACAGAATTTTTTTGATTTTTCTCTATTGCTAATGCAACCTCGGGAAATTATGTGATATATGAAACATGCACTTGCTAGGTACTTGGAAAAGGCGCGTTTATTTAGCTGTAAAGTTAACACTGCGCGTTCTTTTCATCTTCTTTGCAAAATTTTTTGTAAAACGTTTAATGCAGGTGTGCGTTGTCAAACGGCCCGCATAGTAGATAGCTTTTAATGGCTTACCATAAAAACAAAGTCTAGAGTGCTAGTACTATTAGAATTCTATAGAAACAAAGAAACACGTTCCATTCTCAGCTGTGTCATAAACGGCATAATATCGTATAAGAGTATACAAAATTGGTTTCTGGTATTTTGTAACTCAAGATTTCTAGCCGTAATCTTTCAAACGTAGTTAACCCTACAGCACCTTATTGTGATTATGCCATTATTTTATACATTGTCATGTTTGTGGTGAGCCCGTAAGAAAGAGAGTATACGCTGAGTGACGATTCTTATCAACAGGCTTCGTTTTGTTCAGACATTGCTATAGACGGTCAAACATCCTCAGAGATGATGCGGAAGTGTTGTCCAAGCTGTTGAGGAACTTTAAACAAAATTATTGCGGCATATTAAGTATCTCTAGCAAGATGAGAACTTACTACTCCAGTGCAGAAACTGTTCCCTTGTTAGTTACATATAGAGGTGATGGGGAGACAACACTTATGTGTACCGTATGAGCAGGTGAGTCCATGAGCATAGTATTCATCCAAACCTTTCATGCAATATGTAAATATAGGTAATATTTTTTAAATGAATATTATAAGTGTTTTTCTTTTCGACATTACCATTAT